CTCTATACTGTATATAAAGTTGAATATCCAACTTCATATATACACCAACATAAAGATTTATATTCTAAAAATTAAATCTCAGCTGCCTGGTTGCTTGTATCATCGCAAAATGTAAATTATATTGTCGCCCAGCTCTAATCTGCTAAATGCGACTATAAGGCATAAATATATTAATATATTATACACATTACAGTCAAGATTTTCTGTAATTCTGGTATGAAACAATGTGTATTGTGAAATAAATTATCTATGAATATAAAAATAAATAAATAAATAAATAAAGTTAATAATAAAGATAATAATAATAATAATAATAATAATAATAATAATTACCAGCCTTACAAACATTTTGTGTTAAAAGTTTAATTTAACATTTAACATTAATTTAACATGAATGTTACTTGTTTCTGAAGAGCATCTTGTGCTTCAATGTATTGTAAACATTTGACCATCTGACATTTTAGCTCAATTCACATGCTCAGTGTCATTAATTTGCTTATTGGTTTAGTGACCAACAAATATTTGTTTTTCATTTAACACCAAAGATATTCTGACCCCACTGTATACGGTTCGATAGTCACTATTAGGTCAAATGCAGTCATAAATATAATTGAAATGACCAGCGTGCGTAAACACGCAACAATCTATCACTCTCCAGTGCCACGACACTGCACAGGTCTATTGCTATAGACAAAACCCTCTCTTTATGTAGCATTTCCATTAAAAACACAAATCTTTTGATTTTCAGTCAGCTTAATCAGCTCTTCTCTGTGACTAAAACACTTGACAGGATGGCTTTAAAAAGCCATGGCAGAGACTCAAATAAATAACACTGAATGTGCTTTAGGAGAGCCTGAAATGGGTACAGGTTTGCGTTTATAAAGCTTGCAGCTGTTTAGAACAAGCTGTGAATTGGCGTGTGTTACAAGTCTTCATTCATGCACTTACAGCTCAGTTGGCCTTCTGGTGTGGACCGGTCAGGCTTCCACACAAAGCATTCATGACTAAACAGCCTTTGTGACAAAGATCCCTATAAAGCTTGTGTGTGGGTTGTGGCACTGGCCTACCAACAGTGCATACCG